TTGCTGCTCGTTTTAGCCCCCTGAGCTTACTCCCCGTGGAGGCAGGGAAGCGCTGGGCCCCGGGAGGGGGAGGGAGGCGCGAGGGGCTGCGAGTCCGGCTGCTCTTTGCAGCTGAAGCTGAGGGTACAGTTTCATGACCCAGCCAAACTTGTCTGACAGCTGCTGCCATCTAAGGTTGTGCTTACCCCTGCTAAGCGAGCTGCTGCTTTGTCTGCGGTTTTGCCTGTCTCCTGTGCCAGCAGCCAGGCACGTATGGCCGTGTGATTGGTCAGATGAGTGAACTGTTCCAACTAAAAAAGGTTATTTTTATGCACACACACACACACACACACACACACACACACACACACACAAAATACATATATATATATATAAAGATATATATATACACAAATAATACATATATATGTGTATATTTATACACAAATACTATATATGTGTGTGTGTGTGTGTGTGTATATATACACATAATTGCAATTACTTCATTCTTAAAAAGTGTGTCTAGGGTTGCTACTGCTGTTATGGATCTGATAATATTTATAAATTGGGGAGAGAGTACAGGACCAAGGTAAAAGAAGAAGTGATAAAAATATTAATTTTAGAAAATGGAAATACAAGAGAAAAGGCTTATTTTTTTTCTCTGTTCCAGTTACCAGATGGAATATCTATGAAAAAGCTAACATTGGAGCACTGAATACACTACAAGGATTTCTCCGAAAGTAGTCAGCTGGGACCTTTCCCTTGGCATAAGCCTCCTGGCCTCTCATAACAAAAATATCTAGAGGTCCTATGCGGCGGCTGTCTGCACCCCTCGCTCTCACAGATAGTGTGTGCTGTCCAACAAGCCGACAAGGAGACATAAGCTGGCCTTCAGGTTCACCCAGTGGACAGCTATCTCCCTTTCAGCTGACCAGATGCCCAGTCCATTGGCAGTGGCAGGTGATGAGGTGACAACTGAAATGTTTCTGATTATAGGACATATAGGACAAGTCCACTGCTTCTTGAGTCAGGAAAGCAGAAGTTTGCTGAGCAGGACTGCCAAGCAGATGTGATGGCCCTCTGAATTCACTGATACCGATAGCAAAGGCCGCATTCAAAGGACTTGCCTATGTGAAAACATCCTAAAAAGCTGAGGCAAATTAAACCTATGAAGCCAACGCACGTAAAGCTGAGCTCACTAAATGCATGTGAGGATTATCTGATTCAGAAGTCAGTGTGCTGTAGTTTAAATTCTCCTTCAAATTACAATATTCTGTTGGCAGTTTGCCTTCCACAGGATCTTTACCAGCTGTCTCAAACTTCTCAGGTAGGAAAAATCTGAAAGCCTTACTTGCCAAGAATAGGAGGAAATTTGGGCAAGCGTTAACAAGACACTGTGCTAGCGTGCAGGTGGCTGCTGAAAGTAGAACTGATTTTCTTTTGCCCTGCCTGGCATGTAGCAAACCGACAGGCTGAGAGGTTGAATAGTGATGGCCTCAAAGGACTTTTTAATTTACTACAGGTTCTAGGATTTAAGCTGTCTATGACAGTGCTTTCATACTAGTAAAGACATAATGCTGTATCAGTTCACTGGTGTGATTTAATTATCAGCACATAGCCTGTGGTGAAAAAGGCTGTACACAAGTTCTTCTTTAAAAACACTTTTCAATCAGAACCTGCAAATTTAGTATGAATTAATCACTAGTTGAAAATATATTTCTCTTCTGCTTAGAACCTGCCTTGAATCTTATACATGACGGCTGGAAGAGGAATGTGAAAAAAGGGACTGAAAAGTTGTATAGTCTCCACTTTGTTCTGATTTTAAATTAAAACAAATAGTAACTATCAATTTCTTACACATTTAGAAACAAAAGGTTGGAGTTTGAATTGAAAAAAAAAAAAAACTATTCATAAACCTATACCTTCAGTTGTGCACATGAGTCCAGGCTAAAACAATATTGGGCAAAGGGTTTTTATGAGGATAGTTGCAGGATGAGAACAGGAAGCTCGCATAAAACATAGGTAAAATGAGATCATCTTGGATGTCAGCAATTTGTCTATTTTTTGGTGTATATAGAGACAGTCAGAGAACAAGATGCTTGAAAACTCTGAAAGTCTCGCATCAAAGCTGACCTAAACTAAAAAAAAAAAAAAGGTTTAGTACCTGAAGTGCATCACTAAACAAAATGAAGAGTAAATATCTGTAGTCGTCTGAAATGTGTTTAAAGAAATCACACTACCTGTGTCAAATACAATGACTGCATTGACCCAGCTATCAGGTAACCCTTATCAGAGGTGTAAGAGTCTGACAAAGACCC